AAGCTGCCAGGAGCCGTCCAGCAACTGCACGGGGTCCTGCATCAGTGGCTGCTTCTGTGACCCAGGCTATGTGTACCGCGGAAAACGCTGCGTGCCCCTTCACGAGTGTGGCTGTTTAGATGAGCATGACAATTATTACGAGGTAGAAGCATAGGGTGTGAAGACACAAATTTCTGCTAATTCAGTTTATTAAATGTTATCTGACTGTGGGATTAAAAGACAAGTCACTGGACAATCTATTAGAATCAGTCTCTCCCTGAAAACAGCAGCGTCTCTTCTGTCTCTTTTTCGTGACGTTCTAACTGCAGTCGGGAGAGATTGTCTTTGGTGACGGCTGCTCCAAGCTATGCCGTTGTGCTGGAAACTACACACTCAGCTGTGTGGACAACTCCTGTATTCCCACGGAGGAGTGTCGAGAAGTCAATGGCGTGTCCAGCTGCTACCCCAAAGGTAGGGAAGCTAACGTCTCAGTAAATATTAGCCTTAACCAAATGTTCACACATGACTGAGTGATTTTGCTTTTACACAGCAGATTTGTAAACAACAGCAATATTCTGATGAGTGCAATGTACAGCTACTTGAAATCAATGCTGACCTATTGTCCTTGCCTGTTGGAGTGCATGAGGTTCAATGTATCCTTTAGCATCTTCCCACCAATTACGTTTAACCTTCTATATTAATCTGCTTCCAATGTTTTTCTCCAGACTCATCCACCTGCATAGTGTCAGGAGACCCCCACTATACCACATTTGATCGACGTAACTACGACTTCATGGGCAACTGCAGCTACCTGTTGGCCAAGCCATGCAACAGCACCTTGGCCCCACCTTTCGCAGTGTATGCCGACAACGAGAACCGCTACAACGTCCTGTCCGTCAGCTACCTGAAGGCTGTGCATGTGCACACCCTGGGAGTCGTCGTGTCGATCTTGAAGGGCGGAGTGGTGCAGGTGAGACAGGGAGCTCCACAGAGTCGCAGAAGCAATGGGGGCATCAAATTAGACTTATGTGTCTGCAGATCAAGGAATAAGTGAGAAGGATGAGCTTGACTATCAAAGAGAGAACTCCATGCCTGAATAGTCTGATGAGTATTCTGCATCCCTCTCTGTGATCTCCTCCCGCAGGTGAATGGGACCACGGTGAACCTGCCTGCCAACCCGGCAAAGGGGCTGTCTGTCTTCCAGCAGGGGACACTCTACACAGTGGTGGCAGATTTTGGGGTGACTGTGCGCTATGATGGCAACCACTACATGGACATCAAAGTTACCAGCGAGTGAGTTTCACCATAGGCTATTAATTACTTTGCTCATGAACACATTCATCACTTTCCAGTGTTTCCACCATTGCAGTATTTCACTTATGGTTTCAGCTGAAAGATCTTGCCCTTTGCCTTTCTCTGTACAGCTACAAGAATGTTCTTTGTGGTCTGTGTGGTGACTACAATGCAAACCCCAATGATGACTTCCGTACTCCCACTGGTCAACTCGTCACCAATGCCAATGAGTTTGGCCACAGCTGGAACTCTGATCCTAAGTGAGAACAACTTGACTGCATTAAAAGTGTGAAATGGAGTTGGGCTTAATCTCCCAGATAATGTCATGACTTTATTGCCGAATACTTGCAGCTGCAACAAGAAACCCAATGAGACCATCCCTGAATGCACAGACGACGAGCTGGATGTGTTCCAGAGTCCAGCATATTGTGGAATCTTGCTGGACAACAAGGGACCATTTGCTGTCTGTCATCCAAGGGTCAACCCCAATGTGAGTTACTGTATCAAAACATATATCATTCAAAACCAAGGTCAGAAATGCTCATAGCGTTTCAGTGATTAGTAATCATCAGATTGCAC